GAAATCGGCCTTTATCACCCCTCTGGGGCTCTATGAGTTCCTGACCCTGCCTTTCGGCCTCAAAGGATCGCCGGCCACCTTTCAGTGCCTGGTGGACCAGCTACTGAGGGGGATGGAGAGTTTTGCCGTGGCGTATATTGATGACATCTGTGTCTTTAGCCAGACCTGGGAGGACCACGCGTCCCAGGTTAGACAAGTGCTGGACCGACTCCAGGGGGCTGGGCTGACTGTAAAAGGGAGAAGTGCAAGGTGGGGATGGCGGAAGTATCTTACCTGGGCCATCGGGTGGGGAGCGGCCGCCTAAAGCCGGAACCAGCCAAGGTGGAGGTGATCAGAGACTGGCCCGCTCCCCACACCAAAAAGCAGGTCCAAGCCTTTATTGGGATGGCAGGATACTACCGAAGATTTGTGCCCCACTTTAGCGCCATAGCCACCCCCATCACTGAGCTATGCAAGAAGGGGAAGCCAGACAAGGTGGTCTGGACCGAGCAGTGCCAGGAGGCTTTCCGGGCGCTGAAGGAGGCTCTGGTCAGTGGCCCAGTTCTGGCAAACCCAGACTTTGACAAGCCCTTTGTGGTGTTCACCGACGCCTCCGACACGGGACTGGGGGCAGTGTTAATGCAGGAGGATGAAAAGGGGGAGAGACACCCCATCGTGTACCTGAGCAAGAAGTTGCTACCCCGGGAGCAACACTACGCGGCCATCGAGAAGGAGTGCCTGGCCATGGTGTGGGCCCTCAAGAAACTAGAGCCCTATCTCTTCGGGCGACACTTCACCGTCTACACCGACCACTCTCCCCTGACCTGGCTGCACCAGATGAAAGGAGCCAACGCCAAACTCCTGAGGTGGAGCCTGCTCCTGCAGGATTACGACATGGACGTGGTCCACGTGAAGGGAAGTGCCAACCTGATAGCGGACGCGCTGTCCCGGAGAGGGGGCCCCGAACTTCCCCAGGTCACTGGTCACAGTGACCCCGCTCAGTTCAGTCTCGAAGGGGGGAGAGATGTGACGATGTGACTCAGCAGGGAGGGGGGAGTGTTGACCTGGGAATGTGCCCTGGGGATGGGAGACCTGAGAGCCTGTCACCTGAGCCAGGAGGGGGAGGGGGAGGTGACACCTCTGCCAGGAATGTGGACGGAGACTGCAGCAGGGAACCTGCTGGGTGGGTTTAGTTTCAGTTTGGGGCTGGGTGGAGGAACACAGGGAACCCCAGGGCTGGGGTCTAAGCTCCCTGCTCCCCCAGAAGGACTTGACTGAGGGGTCCTGGGTATACCCACAAGCTCTGTTTTGGACTGTGTTCCTGTTGTCCAATAAACCTTCTGTTTTACTGGCTGGCTGAGAGTCTCAGTGAATCCCAGGAAGAGGGGGGCAGGGCCTGGACTCCCCCACACTCCGGGACACATGGGGCTCTGAGCCAGGCTGCTGCAGTCCCTGCTTGGCACCTTCCCCCCACCCTGTCACCCCGGGTGGCTCAAAGCCCCTCCTCTGGTGGGTGCCATTGCCTAGCCCCGGTGGGGGTGCACATCCCAGCAGGGCAGGACATTTCCCCAGGCCATTGGAAACCCTTCAGCTCCCTGCCCCCAGAATCCCAGCCCCATGCTCTGCTCCAAGGGCTGGGGCCTCACAGCCTTGGCTGCAGGGGGCTCTGGAATTGCCCCAGGCGGGGGCAGTTCTCCGCCAAGGCAGGAGGCCCCCTGGGGCTGGGTAGCTCTGGGGGCAGGGCCACCGCAAGGAGCAGGTAGAAGGTGGCCCCAGGGCGTGCGCTTGGCAGAGTGGCCGGGGGCCTGCCCCTCAGCTGTAGCACCGACTGCTCGGTCAGTGCCCAGAGCTCTTCCAGCAGCAGGCAGCCGGGGTGGGGGACATCGCCCCTCCCACCAGCGTGCAAAGGGCCCAGCAGGCCTGGCTGGACTGAGGTGCACTGGAGGGGCAGGGAGCCCGCGGGCCCCAGAAACAACCGCGGTTCCTGTGCCATTTCAATGGGCTGTGGCCCCTGCCCACCTGCCACCCCAGCCCTGAGGCAGGTCGCTGAGGGAGGTGCGGGGGGACATAGATGCCGGCCCCATCTCCCAGCGCCTCCAGCAAGTCCCACTCGGGCCGGTATCATGTCGAGCAGGAAGCAGCTGCCTTCTCTGGGCTGGAGGCATCAGCTTCGTCAGAGGAAACGTCCCACAAAGATCCCAGCTGGCAAATGCTGCTCTGAAAGTAGCGCAGTGAACTGAACTCAACCTGCCCACACCCCTCGTGTACCCTGTGACCCCCCCAGGGACCCCGATTCCTGTGCTGGCCCCTCTGACCTCCCTGGGATCCCAATTCCTGTGCTGGTCCCCATCACCCAGGTGACTCTGCTGCCTGCCTGATACTGCCCCCCGTGACCCCCACTTCCTGCTCTGAGGCTGGGTGATTTTGCAGGGTTGTCCCCAGTGAACTTTAGATTTTCTGACTTCTCTGGATGCAGGCCCTGGGGATTTTCTACAGGCCCAGACCAGGGATTGTCCTGCCCCTGCCAATAACCAGCCCTGGGGCTCAGAGCTCTCCGGCCAAGTCTGGCTCCTGCAAACTGCACAGTGTGACGAACTCTCAGTTTCATCAGGAGCCTCATATCAAAGGCTCAGCTCCTGGAGTCCTGTGATTACAGGCCACTCTCAGCTTCCATGTAAACCAATACATGCCTAGCACTCCTGGTTGGGAAGACAGGTAGGAAACATGACCCTAAGGGTCAAATACAGGAGACAAAGAAAAGAAAAAAACTGAAACCCTCAACGGTTTATTGTGTGTTACATGAAGATCTCATGATCTGAGGGGCCGGAAGGGGTGGGTCTGAGTTGATGGGGCTCCCAGGCCCAGAGCAGGGAGTGACATCACTTAGGCTTATGGGCCTGGACCCAGACCCTGGTGGGGGCTGTGTATGTGGGGGAATCACCTGCAGTCACAGGCACGGGGCAGGGATCTGAGTCAATGGAGGTCACAGGTCCAGGCCAGGTATGGGAAGACCCTTGAGAGGCAGGGGGGGCAGGATGGAGGGCAGGCCCACAGCAGAGATTAGGGGTCATGGGGGTGGGCCAGCAAAGGGAGGGGATGTTACCTGGGGTCAAGAAGCCAGGCCAAGGAGAGGGAATGGGGATTATCTAAGATCACAGGACTAGATTCAGGGCAGGGAATGGGGTCATCTGAGGTCACAAGCCAGGCCTCAAAGCAGGGAATGGGGTCATCTGAAGTCACGGGCCAGACAATGAAGTGATCTGAGGTCACAGGGACAGACTCAACTGGAATGGGCTCATCTCAGGTCACAGACCCAGAGCAGGGAATGGGGTCATTTGAGGTCAGTGGACAAGTAATTGGGTCATCTGAGGACAAGACGGAGACCCAGGGCAGGGAATGGGGTATTCTGAGGTCACTGGACAGTTAATAGGGTCACCAGAGGTCACAGAACCAGATCCAAGGCAGGGAATGGGAGTCATCTGAGGACACTGAACAGGTAATGAGGTCATCTGAGGTCACAGACCCAGACCCAGGGCAGGAAATGGGGTCATGCAAGGACACTGAACAGGTAATGGGGTCATCTGAGGTCGCAGACCCAGACCCAGGGCAGGAAATGGGGTCATGCAAGGACACTGAACAGGTAATGGGGTCATCTGAGGTCACAGACCCAGACCCAGGGCAGGAAATGGGGTCATCTGAGGTCACAGACCCAGACCCAGGGCAGGAAATGGGGTCATGCGAGGACACCGACCAGGTAATGGGGTCATCTGAGGTCACAGAGCCAGATCCAGGGCAGGGAATGGGTTCATTCAAGGACACTGAGGAGGTAATGGGGTCATCTGAGGTCATAGACCCAGACCCAGGGCAGGGAATGGGGTCATGTGAGGACACTGACCAGGTAATGGGGTCATCTGAGGTCACAGACTCAGACCCAGGGCAGGAAATGGGGTCATGTGAGGACACTGACCAGGTAATGGGGTCATCTGAGGTCACAGACTCAGACCCAGGGCAGGAAATGGGGTCATGAGAGGACACTGACCAGGTAATGGGGTCATCTAAGGTCACAGACCCAGACCCAGGGCAGGAAATGGGGTCATGCGAGGACACTGACCAGGTAATGGGGTCATCTGAGGTCGCAGACCCAGACCCAGGGCAGGGAATGGGGTCATGCGAGGACACTGACCAGGTAATGGGGTCATCTGAGGTCGCAGACCCAGACCCAGGGCAGGGAATGGGGTCATGCGAGGACACTGACCAGGTAATGGGGTCATCTGAGGTCACAACCAACCCAGCAGGGAATGGGGTCATGCGAGGACACTGACCAGGTAATGGGGTCATCTGAGGTCGGAGACCCAGACCCAGGGTAGGAAATGGGGTCATGCGAGGACACTGACCAGGTAATGGGGTCATCTGAGGTCGCAGACCCAGACCCAGGGCAGGGAATGGGGTCATGCGAGGACACTGACCAGGTAATGGGGTCATCTGAGGTCACAGACCGAGACCCAGGGCAGGGAATGGGGTCATGCGAGGACACTGACCAGGTAATGGGGTCATCTGAGGTCGGAGACCCAGACCCAGGGTAGGAAATGGGGTCATGCGAGGACACTGACCAGGTAATGGGGTCATCTGAGGTCGCAGACCCAGACCCAGGGCAGGGAATGAGGTCGTGCGAGGACACTGACCAGGTAATGGGGTCATCTGAGGTCACAGACCCAGACCCAGGGCAGGAAATGGGGTCATGCGAGGACACTGACCAGGTAATGGGGTCATCTGAGGTCACAGGCCCAGCCCCCCCCTCCAGGGGTTCCTGGCCCCCCCCCCCCATGTGTCCCCGTTCGCAGCCCGGACGCGGGTCCGGGCCCGCGGCAGGATCCTGTGTCACGGCGCCCCCTCGTGGCTCCGACGGGCCAGGGCCCGGGACACACTTCGGCTCCCATCAGTCCCCGCGGTGGAACTACAGTTCCCGTCAGCCCCTGCGAAGACTCTGCATCTCCCATCCGCCCCCGCGGCGGGCGTCTCCCGGAAGCCGCTAGCGCTGCAGCGGTCGGGCGCTGTGATTGGCTGATGCTGGGGGTCACATGACCGGAGTCCCCGGGAAGATGGCGGAGCAGGCGGGCGCGTCGCCCGAGGACCCCTGGGGGAAGGTGAGTCCCAGGAGCGGGATGGCGGCCGGCGCGGGACACACCGCGGGGCCCGTCCCCCGGGAGAGGGCGAGACCCCTCTCCGCCCCACAGGCCCGAAGCCGCAGGGGCCTGGGGAACCCAAGGGCGGGGCTTTGTGGGGGGCAGAAGTCAGGTGGGGTCAGGTCAGGGATGGGGTCAGGTCAGGATTGAGGTCAGGGGTCAGGTCAGAGATGGGGTCAGGTCAGGATTGAGGTCAGGGGTCAGGTCAGAGATGGGGTCAGGTCAGGATAGGGGTCAGGGGTTACAATAGGACTGGGGTCAGGTCAGGATTGAGGTCAGGGATCAGGTCAGGGATGGGGTCGGGTCAGGATTGAGGTCAGGGATCAGGTCAGGGATGGGGTCGGGTCAGGATTGAGGTCAGGGATCAGGTCAGGGATTGGGTCGGGTCAGGATTGAGGTCAGGGGTCAGGTCAGAGATGGGGTCAGGTCAGGATAGGGGTCAGGGGTTACAATAGGACTGGGGTAGGTCAGGATTGAGGTAGGGATCAGGTCAGGGATGGGGTGGGTCAGATTGAGGTCAGGGTCAGGTCAGGGATGGGGTCGGGTCAGGATTGAGGTCAGGGATCAGGTCAGGGATGGGGTCAGGTCAGGCTAGGGGTCAGGTCAGAGATGGGGTCACGTCAGGCTAGGGGTCAGGGGTTATGTCAGGACTGGGGTCAGGTCAGAGATGGGGTCACGTCAGGCTAGGGGTCAGGGGTTACATCAGGACTGGGGTCAGGTCAGAGTTGTGTCCAACCTCCCTGTGACCACGCAGGTTCCCAGCTCTGTGCCAGAGGAGGCAGATTTCTGAGGGGATGTGACTGGAGGCAAAGCTGCTGGCTGGTGGCTCTCCTGGGGTGTCTTGCCTTTTACTGCATAAAGAGAATCAGATACCACTGCTGACTTATTCCCTGCCCATCCCCCTCTCCCCGCGACATTGGGAAGGGACAGAAACCCTCCTGCACTGGACACGAGCCAACTCTGGACAGCTGGGATTGGGCAGGAACCATCCAATATGGGTGGATTATTCCACAATTCTACATTTCTGTCACCACAAAATCTTGACTATCTGGGGAAAACATCTCTCCAGTGGCTCCAAGGAGTTAAATACACTTAGGGCCAGAGTTGTAAAGGTGTTTAGATGCCTAGTGGGATTTTGCAAAGGAACTAAGGCCCATATCTTCAAATCAGTGGAAGTTTGTGTGACCCAGGATTTAGGTGCTAAGGCACTTTTCTACGCCACTAAGTGCCCATCTGCTTCTTTAGGTAGCTAAATACCTTTACAAATCTGATCCTTGGTTCCTTGGGGGAGGCCTTACATAACTGCTGCCGATGGAGGGACACTAACCAAGCAGAGGACTTGCCTGTTGAATGCACTTAGGTTTCCTGCTTGGCATATCCAGGGAGCAGTGTATTTTGAGAGTCATTCCCAGAGGCTGAGCTTTAATTTTCTATGAATGTTTTGTTCTCCTGAACACCTGGAGCAGAGCTACATGGTCATTTGTCTTTTCTTGTATTCAGTCTTAACATTCAGATAAAAATAACAACATAAAAGGGGGAGGAAGTGTTGACTATGTGTCCATAAGTGCCCAGAGTCTGTGCAGGAACCAGAGTTGGATTTTCACAATTGCTCGACACCCAGCTTCTCCTATTGTCCTCAATGTGTATATGCTTTTGAAAATCTGACCATGTAGTTCTAGAATGAAGTGTAGTAAAATTGAAACCAGATCAATCCTGCAGTCATAGCCTTGTTAAACTGAAGAACAAACCAGTGTTTCAGCCTGCAAGGGAATTGGAAAGCATATGTGTTGTGTGGGGGCTCATGGGACCACCCACATTGTTCCCACTTGCTGTCACGTGTTGGCAAAATAGTTTATTGCACAAAAAAGCAAATTCACTAAAGAGGAAACTGCCTCACTCACTGGTTCGTTTCTTTTTCTCTCTTCTCCGCCTGTTTTCTCACGCTGTAATTCGCTCATCCTACAATGCACCAGGTGGATTCTGCATACAGTGACAGTGGACTGGATCCCTGTGAGTAGCTTTGTGTCCTCCTCCTCCCAAACTCTGTCAGGTCACAGCTGACTAAGTGTGCCAGGGAACTGTGGTCACTTTTGTGCTTTGCTCTAGCTTATGCTGTTAGAAGAGGGACAACCTGGTCAAATTTGGTCCAAATCCACAGTCTCTTATCGGACCCTTTGGCCTTTTAAAACAAGATGAATATCTTTTCATCGGAAAAGCAGCACAGATGCAATCATCAATGTATTCTTTGCTCCTTTAATGAGAAGCTCTTGGAGCACTTCGCAAGTCTCCCAGAATTTATTTTCCCCATCTTACAGATAGGGAAACTGGTGCAAAGGATATTAGTTACATTGCTGTGCTTTAGTTGGCTTTCACATCTGGTCCCAATGGCTTTTCAGCATTCATCGCACCTATCTGCACACTGACCGGGACTGCAACAGCTGCTAATCCCTGGAGCTGGTTGCCCTGTGACTTGCCTCCCAGAGTTGATCCCCTCTCTGTCCCAGTTTGCAGTGTCTCTGGGGGTTAGTGACACTTACTCACCGCCTCCTGCATGACGTAGGGAAATACGCTGTGGTATTTTCTCTTTCAGCGCTCTTTGTGGAAAGCACTAGGAAAGGAAGCATAGTATCCCGAGCCAACAGCATTGGCTCCACCAGTGCCTCCTCAGTCCCCAATACAGGTATGGTACCTTCTCTATGTTCCACCAGCTTCTCCAGCACTTCAGTTACTAGGGGCTTTTCCTGCTCTCTCACTCCTATTCAGTCTTGTTCTCCTTAGGTAGATGTTCTCTATGAGACTGTGATTGCAAGAGCTTCCTCTGCCAGCTAGAGCAGAAGTCTTGCCCTTGGGTAGGGAGGATGGTGTTCTGGCTTCCTGCAGGGTAGTTTGATGGGACTCTCCTGGTAATGGCGAACAGAGGAGAGCTGGAGCGAAGGTCTGAAGAAACTTTTTGGCCGACGTTTTCAAGTGCTGAGTGGTGATGGATGCCCGCTCTAAGACACGTTAAAGGGGCCTGATTTCTAGGAAGTGCTGAAAAGTTGGCCCCTCTGTGGAAGGGATCTCAGCTTAGACACCCAGTCCTTCTTGAAATCCAGAATGCTGCAGAGCCTTTCTAGTGAGAATCCTGTGTAGACAAGCCAGCACCCAACCCCAGGGGTCTGCAGGAGAAGCAGGTGGCCTAGTTGGCACCTAGCATCTTTGTTATTGGCCTTCCCTATAATGAATTTCCCCAGCTGCTCACTCACGCTGTGGGCTGTTGTCAGCAGAGATGCCCTTGGACAGGTGGATCTTTACTGTGTTTCGGCCCCATCCTTTTGAAAGTACTGTTTGGAGCTAGTCCATCCAATCGGTAGCTAAGTGGTGTCACTGGGAGCTGTTGTCACGCACAGGTGTCTAAATGATCCCCAGTCCAGACACTGCGTGGTCTCCATGTTACCTCAGTAACTGTAGGTATCAGTTTTTGTCTCTGCTTCCTGGGCTCTGGGAGTTGCCACGTGCCCCCAGAGCTGATGGTGACCATTCTTCCGCTGCAGATGATGAAGACAGCGATTATCACCAGGAAACCTACAAAGAGTCATACAAGGACCGGCGCAGACGTGCCCACACCCAGGCCGAGCAGAAGAGACGAGATGCCATCAAGGTAACCTCAGAGCAGCTAGCAGGCTGTTTCTTTGCATGAGAATTCAGACAGCACCTTCCTTTCACATCAGACCCAGGAGGGCCCATTATTCTACAGCACCAGCACCGTGTGTTATTTATTTAGCTGTTAAATTCAGTATTCCACCAAATGTTCATGATGCTGTAGGGGGTTTGTATCAACTCGGGGGAGCTGTAGCTTTCCACCTTGTTAAACCATCTACCCAGCCAGCTGCCATCATCCCATGCTGTTGAATCTAAAACACGCTGTCACTTCCGCTCTGCCCCCCCTGCAGAAAGGCTACGATGACTTGCAGGCCATCGTTCCCACGTGCCAGCAGCAGGACTTCTCCATTGGCTCCCAGAAACTAAGCAAAGCCATCGTCCTGCAGAAAAGTGAGTCTGGGGGTGGTGGGGAGCGATTTCTGGGCCTGTGCTGGCATTCCCAACAGCTGTGACAAATAGCTTCTGTGCTGGACGGCTGTACTCCTCTGGTCACTGAGTGGGGTACTGGCCAGCCAGAACTGGACCCACCTCTGTTCATGGGGGTTCCATGGGGAAAGCCATCTGAGCTGTAAAACCCTCCCTGCAGACAATCAAAACTAAAATGGCAGGTGCCTTGTTCCAGGCCTCACTGAGTTGTCTGCTCCCTCCCCACCCGCTCCTGGCTGGCTCTGCAGATTAACACTGTCCTGGTCTCTTGCTGAGACTGAGTAACACTTATGCAATCAGCCTACCAGTGCAAGGGAGGCACACTGTTACAAGGTGAAGCACGAGCTGCCTAGCCCAGTCACCCCCTTCTTGCAGCTCATGGGCATCGAAATCACTTAGGTTGAGGGTGGAAGACTGTGTTTAGGGCTTAGGAGGCTGGGACTCCTCTCAGCTTGGCCACTGCTAGTGTATGATCTAGAGCACCTTGCTCCCCCTCCCTGGAGCTGGGATGTGAAGCACTGGGACCCTCTGAGGAGAGGAGTCACGGAGCCTGGCTCCTGGTCAGTTTGGATGCCTGAGGTCTGTGGGGATGAAATCTAGGGCCATGCATCAATCCTGCAGGTGCCCCAGTGTCTGCTCCTCCTGTCCCCTGCTGAGCATCATCACTGTGACCTCTGATCTGTCTCGAGCATCCTAAACCCTCATCCTCCCTTTGCTTTTCAGCCATTGACTACATTCAGTTCCTCCATAAGGAGAAGAAGAAGCAGGAGGAGGAAGTTTCTACACTCAGGAAAGATGTCACAGCTTTGAAGATCATGAAAGTGTAAGGAGCAGCTTGTTGCACATCCCCCACCCCAAGGGACCAGGGAGATAGACATCCTGTTTGTTACATACTGCAGCAGACACCCACCGTACTCACCTTTTTCTCCCTCTCTCAATTCCATCCCAGGGCTGGATAGTATCTGACTTGCTGGTCAAGCTGGATTTGACACAGATCCCAATATAGTGCAAGGGGCATGGGCTGAGCAAGGGGACTGTCCATAGGGGGGTGCCAACTCAGAGCAAGGAGCCCCAGCCTGTTCCTGGGTCTCCTCTCCAACATGGAGGGGAGACTGTGATTTCCCTGCATTTATTCCCCTTAAGGAATTTAAGCCCAGAGCCTGCTACCTTAACCATACAGCCAGTGTGAGTGTTGCTTATGGTCCTAACAAGCAAAGTTAAGGGCCTTCAGGAAACACTGCGGCACATCTTTGGTCTCTCTCGCACCTCAAACAGAGCTTTGGAAGGTGTCTGAGGCCAGAGCTGGCTTCCCAAGCCTGCCATTTTATCCGGGTTTCTTTGGTTTGTTTCAGAAACTATGAGCAGATTGTGAAAGCTCATCAGGATAATCCAAATGAGGGGAAAGACCAGGTCTCTGACCAAGTCAAGTTTAATGTTTTCCAAGGCATCATGGATTCACTGTTCCAGTCCTTTAATGCCTCCATCTCAGTAGCAAGTTTTCAGGAACTTTCAGCCTGTGTCTTCAGCTGGATTGAAGAGCACTGTAAGCCACAGGTAAGGACTAGGAGCCGCACACAAAGTAACATGGGGCAAGCTCTTGCATAGGGCCAGACAGCTTCAGTAGATACAAATGCAAAGCAATGCACATTGGAGGGAACGTCTTGAACTATTCCTACACCTTACTGGGCTCTAATTAACTAGCGCCAGGGCCAGTTCAACACCGGGCAGCAGTCCAAGCACCTTAGGAGGTTTAAAGGCCAGGATGGAGATAGCGAATGCAGTTCCAGTCACCCCATCTCTGAAAGGACAAAGCACAAGCAGACGATTCAGGGATGTGACGAGAACGACTAGGGGCATGGAAAGCCTGGGACTGTCTACCAGAGGCAGAACAGGGGACATGATAAAGAGATGCAAATCATGCCTGAGGCTGAGGAGGGAGCTGGAGAACTCCTGTTCTCCTGGTCTCCTAACGAGCAAAGGGACCATGTGTGAAACTGAAAGTGGCAAATTCAAAATGAATAGAGAGAGAAACTTTACCCCACTGTGCAGCTGGCATGGTAGTGCTGCCTGCCACAGGAGATCAGGCAAACCCAAGGGTTCAGCTACACTGCAAAAACCCCTGCTGCAGTGAGACTCAGAGCCCAGGCTCTGCAGACCGGCAGAGAGGGGTGTTTCAGAGCCCAGGCCCCAGTCTGAGCAGGAATATCTACTCTACTATTTTGAGCCTCATAGTGCAGGCTCTTCGAGCCCGAGTTACCTGTCCCAGGCTCTGAAACTTGCTGCTGTGGGGTTCTTCTCTCAGCGTAGAGACATCCGTAGGCACTTAGCTGGAGAACAAGAGCCCCAGCAAACACGAGCTTTGACAGGGATAGAAACCCTCCTGTTTCAGAGCATAAATGAGGCTCTAGCTCATGGGGGCCAGGGAGAACCTTCCCTGAGGGGCAAGTTGTCATACCACACCTTCTCACACTAGACTTCCTTTCTCTAAAGCAGCTGGTTCTGCTACTGTCAGACAGGAAATGGCCAGGACGAGCCCTTGGTCTGATCCAAGCTGGCAGGTCCTGTACTCTCAGTAATCCTGAGGCACTGAAGCCATGTACCCCATGACCCCCAGGTTTGTTCCCATAAACACCGCTGTGCGTGGCTGGTGCAGCAGGTACCCAGCTGCCTTTCTACACATGTATTCCCCTCTGTAAGGAGTTCCCTGGTCTGTTCTGGAACCCACAGAGGCATTGCCAAGGTGAATGTTTATTCGTCCCGCAGAGTGACTGATCCTGCCTCCTCCTTGTTTTCCCCAGACTCTGCGGGACATCGTGCTTGGGGTTCTGCATCAGCTGAAGAATCAGCTCTACTGACTGCTCTCCCTGCTAGTGCCCCAGCAGCATGGGCCTGCGTTCTTCATCCATACTGCTACTGGGTACCGCCAGCAGGGACGGAGTTGGGAAACAGACTCCAGGAATGGCTGGTCTGTTTCCCTTGTGATTGTTAAAGCTTCTCTCTGGATTATTTATTGTATTGACCAAAAACCAAAACTGGGCTTATGTACCTCTCCACAGACCCTGTCGCAGTCTGTAGGGACTCAGTCAGCAGAGAAGGGAGTTTAGATGTGGATTAAATATACTTCTCATTGCCCCAAAGGAAGGCAGGAGAGGCTGTCTCACCCAAACTGGCATGGCAGTGAACGGGCCTTGCCTGAGCCCCTGACTCTTTGCAAGAGTGGCAGTAGCTCAGCCGGTGGGAGGGATCTGCTTCGTAGCAGGCAGATGGTCCTGCTCCCTGTGATGGGGAATGGCCTGGAGTCTTAACTACTGCCTGGTCATCTTAGCAGTGCACATTACTGCCTGCTGGGATGCATACCCTGAAAACCACAGAGCCTGGGCATGAGCTGTAGAACAGATGGAACACAGGCTGTTCGGTTTCCAGGTGAGCACTTGCTGAAATCGCAGCTACCCAGGCACCTTTCCACAGGGCAATGCAGGGCTGTGAAAGGAAGCAGAGAGTGGCGATAGTAAGGGAGACCTCTTCCCCCCACCCCAGAGCCAGTTGCCACATTAGGATTAAAGACTTGAGCTGGGTTATGAACCCTCCTGCACCAGGCAAACCGATCTCTACTAAAGGGGGTTAGGAAGAAGCTTCCCTTGGGAGAGGTTCTCCCATCTCTGCAGGCTTTCTTGCACCTTCCTCTGAAGCAGCTGGTTCTAGTTACTGTTGAGATGGGTTCTGCACTAGCAATTCCTATGGGCCTCAATCCCGATGGTCTAGTTCAGCCTAGGGATGGAAGGCTGCTTGCTTTACTGGTGTAGAATGACTTTCCAAAAGGCCCTACAAAGGAAGCTGGGTGGGTTGGCCCCTCACTGCCACAAGGAGAGTCACTTAATCGCCAGTGCTGAAGGGACTCCCCTTCTTGTGCAGATGACCATGGCCTCAAGCCTCTGCTTGAGCCAGCTGCTGACTTGGCCTTTTCGACTCTAGCCACATTTCCTAAACAATTAAACATGCGTGCAGCTTTCGCTACAGCCTTGTCCAGTTTTATCGGTACAGAGGCTGATCTCTGGCAGGCTTTATATGACATGGCACTTTCTGATGAAGTCACACTGTGTGGGAAAGTAGAATAGTCTAGCACAGAGCAGCTGGGATTCTAAGTAGACGTCTACTCTTGTTTAGAACTATAGTTTTATATATAATAAAGCCTTGATTTTTGTAATGCATTGAAAAAAAAAATCACACTAACATGTTATCAGTTTATGTTTTGCAGACAGCTGCTTGTCTGAGACAATTTAAATCAGTTACACCCTGTTTCGTTCACTATAACCCTTCAGGTCTCTTAAAGCAGATGGCAGCTGTCTGCTAAAGCAGCCATGGTGTTTTACTACTCAAACAAGGTGACACTATTGGAATTACCCCAACAGAGTAACTCTCTTACAACAAGAAAAGGAGTACTTGTGGCATTTTAGACACTAACAAATTTATTTGAGCATAAGCTTTTGTGAGCTACAGCTCACTTCATCAGCTGTAGCTCACGAAAGCTTATGCTCAGATAATTTTGTTAGTCTCTAAGGTGCCACAAGTACTCCTTTTCTTTTTGCGAATACAACTAACACGGCTGCTACTCTGAAACCTCTCTTACAACAGTATTTGTCGATTTTCAATTATGTTCCTACCACACTTCTAAAAATCCCGTGTTAGTGACTGTTGTGCGTTTTCTTCAGTTTGGGTATGGTGGTTTCTCGGTGCTGGCTGCCTGCCTTTCAAACACTGAAGCAGGGGCATAATGTTTAAACTGCTGTTTCCATTTAATCAAGGAAATATTCCTGTTGGTCTTGGATTTTATAAAACAAAGCACTTCTACAAAGCCTGCATTGAGTGTCCCTGTTGGTCCAAATGCAGCATACAGCCCCTAGGAAGTTCAAGAGTTTTGTTTGCAGCAACATGCCTAACTGCTGAAGTGAATTGCACACAATAGGGGCAGCTACCTCTATGGCCGTACTCAAGCACAGATGGGTAACTCTTGTAAGATGTTGCTTTGCTGTAAGGAAAGCACCCTCTTTGCAGAAGCAGTAGCCTGTGCTGTTAACTAATAAATGGCATGTGTATTTCTCAAAGGACATTGCTTTTTACAGACCTCACTCAGGTGGAAATGAAATATTTTTCTATCATGAAAAGTAATTATAATAAATTTTTGCTAAGCGTTTTAAGGGTTGTCCCTCTGTTTATTTCTGACACAGAATCACTGGGTTTGCTATGAGAGGTGATAAGGCAAGGGCCAATTTTTCAGAAGTGACTAGTGATTTCAGGATGCCCAACTTGACCCCTTAGCCAGTGTTATGGCAGCCGTTTTGGATCAGCCCTCCCCACCCGGTCATCCCCCGTTATCCGGGTGCCTGACTCGGATGGTTCTCAAAGCCACAGTTAAACCAGACTGGAATACAGCCAGCCTCCCTTTTGTGTGAGCAAAGCGGCCAGGAGGCCAGAGAGCAGTTGGGAGGCCAGTCTTGCTACCACCAGGACATGCAGGGTGAGAAATAATTATGGAAGAAGCAGGCCTAAGATGAGACACAGGGGTGTTTAATGAATCACACTCCTATATACAGCATTACGACATGGTAGATGCTGCGGGAAGCGTTTCCCACCCTCTCTATTAAATACATTGAGATGCCTGTACATCCCTACACAGTTAAACAACTAGTTTCTTTCTTCTCTCCTAAATGCTCCTTTCCTCCCTTTGCTAGAACAAACTCACCTACTTGTTGGCAATCCAACACACCCATAGCCCCGTGGAGAGGCACCATCCCAACTGCCCATTGCAACAAAGGATAATAAAACAACTCCACTGCAAATGAGGATATGATGGGACCTGGAGCTGCCTCAACCCCTCTAGCCACCCTCCTGACTGCAAAGCATTTTAAAACATAAACATATATAAAAGACGCAGGACAAAACCAAGCCCTACAAACAGTGCAAGTTTCAGAAGCGGCTTCTGTTGGGTTCCACACTGGCCAATTTTCTCCCCTGGAGCAGTGGCTCCTATCAGCAACTCAGACAGCCACCGGCAAAGTGACATTGTAATCCTCATCCGTCTCTATCCCAACTTCCTCCTGCACAAGAACAACGCAGCCTCGTTACCAAGAGCACAAAGGAGAGTTACACTGGCTGTACAGCACAGAGAGAATTCAGAAACAGGGCCCTTTCCAGCACTGTGGGACTTAGTGAGGGTTACACCACTTGCAGCAGAATACCTGCAGATTTATGTTAATCAAAGGTGGGTGGATCTGGTCGTACTTACAAAGAACTGTTTCTTGCTTTTGGGGTAGCCCTCCAGAATTGCATCAAGTAGCTCAGTCGCCTGGTAAAACAAAATAATTTGAAAGAATATTTAGCTCCATTTCTTCAGAAAACAGACACGTTAAGTGAAACCTGGGCAAGCTCACCAGCGGGAGAAGCTTTACATACACAGCTTAGCAAAGGCCAAAGCGTTAGCCCCCATGGCCACAAGTAATGAGGCTTCCTAGGGTGCACGCCTGCCTTGCACACCCCCCAACAGAGGCCACTACGCAGGCTGCTGAAATTAGGTCTCCTCCCGGTTAGCCATTACACACGAATGAAAGTGCAATGGTCCCTGGCAGACAGCTGTAGGGTTCCTTTCACCCCATATATTTCAGGGCTGTAAGTGATGATAATCTGCTTTGCAAATGGACCACTGGTCCATTTAAAGTGGCAGTTTGGCATCACTATTAGACTATAAACCTGAAGCCCCCCGAACAAGATGACTCTGGTGAGTGGGAGAGGGAGCTGCCACTGGAAAGCCAGAGAGGATGGTTGGGAGCTTGTCTTGCTATGTCTATACGTTGGAAAGCTGAAATCAGAGCCCAGGAAGAGGTCTCCCTGCCAGGATGGCTGCTCTTCCAGCACTAGAAACTATGGGATGGAAGCTGGAGAACAGCAGCATTAGAGTGGGGAGAAGTGGCCTTGTGGTTCCTCCTCCTGGGTGACACCAGAAGGGCCCAGGCATCACCACTTCAAGACTAGTATAAGCTGAGTGCTGAAGAGGTTCATAGGTCAATTAGTTCTTGGCTAGCTTGACAGCAGGTTGTGGAAACAAGATGATCAGCTACCACAGACCCCCAGGGCTGCTCCATAAATCATTACGTCGCTAGCATTTTTCCCCTGATTGAAACACCCAGTCGCCTCTTGGGTATCATTGCCACCACCCAATAGTGCCCATCTACCCAGTATTCATAATAAAGGTTGCTACCATTCTCTTCCTCCTTCTCCATTCTTTACAGTACAGCTTTTTCTCGTTGTAAACCTGCAACCAACAAGACTGAATGAGTAACATTAAACCCAGCCGCTCCCTAGTGTGAAGCAAGGAACTAGTGCTAGGAGGGGAGGCCAGGCCAGAGCAAGATGCTTATTTAGTGTTCAAGACCATCACACAGTGCAGGCAACTGTCTGACAAATAAGCTCTTTGGAAGTGGGTCTCCTTTTAAAATGGATGATTTGAGAGGCTAAAATGATGAATATCTGTATTAATAAAATGACAACCCAGAGCAAAGGGCTGCAGGCAAGAGTCACTCAGGTACCAGCCTTTATAGCTGCCCCCTCTAGATACACACACAATCTAATGAGGCACACAGCGAAGGGTCTGCTGAGAACATTAGGGAGCAGGACATTTCCAGTGACATCAGACTCTGGGATTGGCTCCGCCATGCTGGAGTTAGCCATACTTAAAGCTGACCAGCACTTCAGCACGCCCAGTACATAATGCCCAGGTAGTGTGATCAGACTTAAGAGAGGAGGCCACTAAAGCACAGCCTTCGCCTATAAACAGGAACATTGGGAAGTTAATTGAGAAGAGGACAGTTTGTGCTGGAGTTTCAAACCTCTCCCACAACCACTCCAATTCTTCAGCGTTTGATGTCAGATTCGAAACGTCTGTCAGCATTCTAAGGTGCCTTTCATTCTCACATTCAGACACACCACCTGGCTTACAGAAATAGAGGACCCATCCAGAAGGGACAAGCTATTCCTTGTCTACATCTAAGGATCATTTATTGAGTATTTTGTTAAGACAAGTAGCGCTGAGCTGGGCTCTCGGCTGCTGCGTTCGGTGGCACAGCCCCGTCCAGCTCTTTACCTTCTCTTTCTCTTCGGGAGTCACATGGTTGGCTGCAGATTTAATTCGCTCCAGTTTCTCTGTGTAACTGGCACAATCTTTTTTTAACTCTTCAATCTCTTTAATCATCTCTGGGGTTGTCATTGAGCCATTCAGATCCTTCAGTTCTGGAATGGAATCGCTCGTTACCCAGGGATGCCCACAGCTACAGCTCAACAGCTAGCATTAATGTCTGCATGACACCACACTCCATGCTGGCACTGCAATGCGCTGCCTCACAACACACGCTCCATGCTTGGTGCCACACTGCGCTGCCTCACACACACTCCATGCTGGTTCAGCTTCCGAGCTAATCTACTTTGAAATAAACGTGGCAGTAGAAGCGGAAATTCAAACACACCTGATTCCATATGGCGGCAGCTCTGTTGAAGGGTTTGTACTTTTGAAGAAAGCTCCGAGATTTCATTGTCCAAGGCTTTAAACTCAGAATCACTCACTGTGGGAAACTGATCCTGAGCGAGAAGAAAGATGATGCATTATGAATTACAGTAAACAGATGTTCCCTGTACAGTCACCACCACCCATTTTTGACAGAGATCTTTGAGACATTTGTTCCCATGACAGCTTGCTGCAGTTCTCGAGATCAGCCATACACAATGTGCTCCTAAAGGTATCATCTCCATTGGTTATGAGGGGATGGGAAGAGTGCTAATAAATGGCCTAGAATGGCATAGCTTTGGCCATTGTTAATATTAACAAAAGTTCATATGTATTACATTATAGTCTAAACTGGAGACATTGTCTAGGCTGTTACACAGCTAAACAGCAGGTTTTACGTTAGTGAACAGTGGATTGCTGGGTTCCTTCAAACAAAATAATCCAAAGTAAAAGGAAGAACCAGAGCATTTGAATGGAATAAATGCAAGACAGTGTATATTGCTTTGAAGCATGAGGAAAGCTGCAGGTGCCCATATAAACATACATACTGGAGTCTCCTCGTGCATTTTGTGCTGAACCGATATGTAAATAAAAGCTTCTCGACAGTGTCTCCTCTGTGCCTGATGCAGCTGTCAGCACACTAACAAACACTACAGGGAAGGCCGTGCCTCGCCAAAAGGCTTTACTTGGAGCTGATCTGTTTAGTTTTTCACTCAAGATTGTTTTTGTTTCCTAGGGAAATTGAACAGATTCATCTCACCTGGTCTGGAAAGTATATTTTTTGTTTCCCATAAGCCTTCTCTCTTATTTTCCCTTGTTGAGCCAGCTGCTCCAGTGCTTTCACCACAGCCTGATGCAAAAAGGAACAGGAGTCCACATGAGAACTGGACGGAGCACCAGAAAGCTACCCTGGGGAGTAAGCTGGGGAGGGAAGAGATGAACTAGACAGGCCTGAAGGGCTGTGTGTGTTGTTACAGCTGCAGATATGGTATCTGCCCATGCAGCCAGCCATCTGTGCATCTATCCAGGGGGTTCTTGCTGCCACCCACCACCTGCCTGTGGTTTGGGTTAGCCAGAGGCTGGGGGTTTCTCACGCTGCTGTGGGGGGAAGGGAGGCAGTGGCAGCTCCCACCCATCTGGCGGGGTCACTAAGACGCTCCCTACCAGCTTCTTGCTTGGGTGGAAGGCTCTGACCTGCCTTGGCACCTTGCTCCAAGCAGCCGAGGGATGGGAGGGAGAGTGGGGGGGGGAGCCTCTGTGGTGGGTGCATCTGTGCAGGCTCCTAGCTCTGCCTGCTTCTCACCGTCTTGCCCAGCCCATGCTCCCGCTGCAGGTTCCCAAAGGCGTCCTGGGCGCTGTGCGGCCGATTCTGGTCCTGGAGGTAGCGAAGCAGGATTGCAGCAGCTCCTCCTATGGGTAAGAGAGGTTGTGTGAGGAGCCCCAGTGGGCCAGCCTTTATTCCACCTTGGTCCCAAGGCCCTCCAGGGACATCGGTTGGTGGCTCCTTCATGGAGCTGTGAGCACGGGCATGTATCTGGCGTGGTTCACCCCCGTACCTGCGGCCTGCCCTTTCTGCAGCATGAGGGAGAACCTGGCGCACGCTTACCTCGAATGCGCCAGGCTGCAGCCCCTGTTGAGGTTCTG